CAACCCTAACACACCATTAGCTTAGTCAGCCCGCCCTCTCTTACCTCCTCCTAAATTTCTTCAATTTCCGAACTATAACTTCCTTCCCCCACCTCTAATCTTCTTTCACCCCCCTTTCTCTACACACACACACAACCACCTACCCTCCACCCACCTACCCATCCACCCACCTACCCATCCATCCACCTACCCATCCACCCACCTACCCATCCACCCACCTAGCCCTCCACCCACCAACCCATCCACCCACCAATCCACCCACCTACCCATCCACCCACCAACCCATCCACCCACCTACCCCTCCACCCAGCCACCCCTCCCTCCAACCAACCACTCCTTCATCCACCCACCCACCAACTATCTCTCCACTGTAAGCTAACTTTTTCAAGCCTTTTTTCTACACACAGTGATCCGAAATTCTATTCAAGCTAGATTCACGTGAGACCAAAATATCAGCCACATGATGTAAAGATTGTCACGACAGTGGAGGGGTCTGTGTGGCAAACGTTGGACAGACTGGTTCAGTATGAGAATGTCAGACCTATTAGAATGCCTTTTGTTTTGTGCTTTAATATCGTAAGTAAAATGAGTTAGTGATTATACACCTAACATGCCTAAAAAAATGCTAATATCCTTCAGGAAATTTATTCCATCACTGCTACGGATATGAAATATTAAATTCCTGGGGAAAGGAACAGGCGATTTAAACGAGAAATAAGAATGCGAGAGACAGGTGTAATCTAATTCTCCGTCACCTGGGGAGGAGGAGCAGGTGAGGTAGTGAAGACAAGTGTCGCCAGGGAAAACAGGTGTGTCAGCTGGGAGGAAGACAAGCCCACACGACCCACAGCCTCTCCCAGTCTGCCGAGATTTTTTTAACCGGAATTGTTCTGTTGGTCTCTTAGGGAGGAAGTTATAGAGACACCTATGCTGATTCCGTAGATTAAACCAATGAGTGGATCCTCCGTTGACACACTTTATAACTTGAGAGACAGATAATCTAGACACAAGACTCTCTCTCTCAGTCTAAAACAAAACAGTAGGATGTGATCAAGTGATGCTTTACCTGCCGAGATGTGCAGATTAGCAGTATGCTTTTGCTTGTCTTTCGTTCATCGTCATCATCATCATCATCATCATCATCATCATCATCATCATCATCATCACCACCATCATTATCATCATCATCATCATCATCACCACCATCATCATCATCATCACCACCATCATCATCATCATCATCACCATCATCATCATCACCGTCATCATCATCATCATAGTCATCATCATCATAGTCATCATCATCATCACCACCACCATCATTATCATCATCATCATCATCATCACCATCACCATCACCATCACCATCATCATCATCACCACCATCATCACTACTACACTGTGGTTGTATTACACTCCATAACCTTTACACAAACTTCAGAGCGTCGGTTACTATGTCATTAACTTCATTGTTACTGACTTCACTTTGTCGCGGACTTCACTATTACTGACTTCACTTTGTCATTGAATTCACTGTTACTGACTTCACTTTGTTAATGACTTCACTTTGTCATTGACTTCACTGTTACTGACTTCACTTTGTTATTGACTTCATTGTTGCTGACTTCACTTTGTCACGGACTTCACTATTACTGATTTCACTTTGTTATTGACTTCACTATTACGGACTTCACTTTATTAATACCATCACTGTTACTGACTTCACTTTATCATAGACTTCACTGCGACTGACTTCACTTTGTTATTGACTTCACTGTTACTGAATTCACTTTGTTTCTTGACTTCACTGATACTGACTTCACGTTGCCATTGAGTTCACTATTACTGACTTCACTTTGTCATTGACTTCACTGTTACTGACTTCACTCTATCACTGCCTTCGCTGTTTTCCTTTGTTCATCAAAAGAATCTCGCTCGCTTCCCTCAGCTCACAGAGAAGATCAGAGCCAGATTTGTGATTGTAATCCCTACACGCTCCTGTGATTACTACAACGTATACTGATTAATGTGTGGGTTTAAAAGAGAGTTAGAGAAGCAAATAACTCATGATAACAACTGATAACAAGGGCTTTCGTGTGTGTTATTTTGAGAAACAATTATAGCTACCTGCTCCACTTCTAATTAACTTACAGTGCCCTTGAGACTGGTAAAGTACGTATTCTCGTCTGTTTGATGGTGTGGCTTGTCCTTTTCTCTGTTGATATTTGGCGTGAATTTACCTCCAAGTGAGCCCAGATCAAAACGAGTTTGATGATCACTGAGATATAAAATCATTGTATTGTAGAGCGAGGGAGGTTTAGCGGTTGTTGGAGATATTATTATTATTATTATTATTATTATTATTATTATTATTATTATTATTATTATTATTATTATTATTATTATTATCATTATCATTATTATTCTTATTATTATTATTATTATTATTATTATTATTATTATTATTATTATTATATAGAGACACATAGTGACGGAACAAACATTGACCAAAGAAACGCTCTCCATGTTACAGTTACAGGAGCCAATACAACACACAGTGAAAGAAACCGTACAGTATGTGGCTCCTTTGTAGAAAAAACTGGAGAGAGCTAAAAGTGCGGCAATAAACCGTGGAGGAGGGCAGGTTCAGCACACAGTGTTTGGTGAAGTGTCTCACATATTGTTAAAACTTCCCTTGTGGTGGCCACTTACCACTCACTGAAGTTACCTACTTTCTCCTTTACCGAATAACTGTTCTTTATTATGGTCAAACCTTCCTTCCTTTTTGTGTTCCTGAGTTAGGAAGGTTTTTCTAGAAGTCATATTCCGGATTTTAAAGAATTTGTAAGCATTGTGATGTGCGGAGAATATGTTAACTCTGTAAGACAAGTTAGGACGATGTGTAGTGTTGTGAGAAGACCTGCACAAAACTGGTAATGAGACGGACTGCCTGAAGGCTGAGCCAGGACCCTCCTGGACTGGCGGGTTATTGTGTTACTCCCAGCGTCCTCCTCTCTTTGGGCCAAGTTGAGGCTTTTATGGCAGTCGAGGCTCACCAGAGACTCTCAATGCAACAATGAGATAATGAAACTCAAAGGGATTTTTAGTTTTAATTCCTGTGGTACAACCAATGAAATTTCATAAAGTACCTGTATGAATTTATTTAGGATCCAATTTTGAAAATGTATTGTAATTTGTAAATACAATTTTTTCTGCATAGTTTCCCTTGACTCTTCTCGCTTATAATTCATCCAGAAGTTTAATTAATAAATTAGCATCTCATCTTTTAAAATATATAGCCTTAGGTGAGCCGAGTTGTCGGGGGTGTTATGTAAATTTCAGCGTGACTTCTCAACAACACAAACCCACAGTATTTTCCTGGCGTACTTTTACTTGCACTCACCCAAGAGCATCACTTACCTTAAATACTTTGAATTATAACTAAATATAAAAGTACTCCAGTAACTTGTAACTTTAAAATTCTGACATCCAGGAAAAGTCAGTTCATTCGCTGTCTACTGTCGACACACTTGGCCGAGCATGAAGCAGCACCTCGCTCCATATTCATCAGTGCTCACCTCAACGCGCCTTTAAGCAACACTTATTTCACCAGTGGTCGATACAGCTAAAGAATCCTCACACTGAAGCTGAAAACTCTGGATTTTCCGACCGAGTTTCTCCAACGCTGAGAATTTATCTTCCCAAACTGTGAAACAACATTAATGTCTAAATTATTTATTATCAACTGAAGAATTATTTCAAAAACTTATTTCTTTGGGTTGAAATTCACTTTGTAAGCCGAGGAAAATTAACGCTGAAGGGATCATTATTCACCGTCACAATGGTTGAAAAAGTACACACACTAAGACCCCCATTTAACGAACATACATAGAGAAGACAAAAAACATTACACCGAGGGTTCATTTGATATAAAACCTCTATCTTACTAACTATATAGATATGAAAGTCCGTTATATCAAGGGTCTATTAGATATAAAAAAATAACATTATATATAGAGAGAAATCCTTTATATGGAGGTTTCACTCTACTTCATGTTATATATTACAAGGCGAATCGAATGGCAAAGAGCGTATATAATTCTCCTGTATCAAGGGAAAGATAATAATACTCAAAGCAGTAATTATATAGGGATAAAAACGTACTTAATTACCCAAAGGAAAGTATATGATAGAGTCATTACTGAGAGGAACTGTTGTAAAAATGAGACAAGCGTTATGGGGAAGAGCTGCGTGGGTCCAAAGGAGGAGGAGGGGGGAGGAGGAGGAGGAAGAAGAAGAGGAGGAGGAGGAGGAGGAGGAAGAGGAGGAGGTGAGGTGGAGGAGGAGGAGGAGGAGGAGAAGGAGGAGGAGGAGAAGGAGGAGGACGACAACAACGATGTATGTAGATCAAATATTTGCGTTGGGGAGCAAGAGGAGGTATTGATGAACGTCTGGAGAAGGGAAGGTAATTTGCTATTTTAATCTACATAGAAAATAACATACAGTAGAGGTACAAAATCTCGAAAGTTAATGTGAGACTACACTCAATACCGTCTTTGGGTGAAGGAAGGTGAAGGATACATTAGTCTGTGTTGAAAGGAGAGAATCTGGTTCCTGCTTGAAGTCTTAATTCTCAAAGTTCTTAACGCTGGATAATTTCTCAAAGATGGAGGTTAAACTAGGCCTACAGTGCATCAATATGGTTATGATTGTGTATTCTTGGACGGGGTAGTAGGGATGAATGAAGGAATAAATGAATATGGTGGCATAAATGGTAAACGGAAGAGGTATGCAGAGTTATTAACGGGTTGAGTGATGTAGGGTTGTGTGAAGACCGTCAAATGAGTCCGGTATTGGTGATTTTGTTGTGGAAAACGAACGCCTTATCAAAAACACATTTGTTACTACAGTTAGAGTTTATTAAATGATATTCTGTTTGTCCCTCTTGATTCCGGATACTGTACAAGCTGTAATTTGAGACACCTGCACCATACACTCACCTGAGTAAATGAAGAAGATGAACACAACAGCAGACGTGTAGAGAATCCTCATTGGCTGAGAGATGGGAGTTACTGATGACGTCATGTCCATATATGTGTCCTATTGGTTACCACAATAATTAACGACGAACCTAGATGAATAATTAGTGAACCATTTCATATAATCTGGCTTGGAGTTGGGAGTAAGATTCCCCAAGCAATTAAATGACACCTGGAGTGATAATGATTCTCAATAATTTAAAATTGGACACCAGATTATAATGACACCAGATTATAGTGACACCAGACTATAGCGACATCTCGTGGCTGGTCCCCGCAGTGAACAAGAAACATGACATTTAAATTTTTTTCTTCGTTTGCTTTGAGCAGCTCGTGGCCCTACTGACTTCACTCTTAAGACACTGTTATGCAAATCAGTGTCGTTATCTGTCTCTCTCTACCGTAATTTTTACCGTAACATTTTCATCTTCACTTTACTGTTACTGGTACTGTACTTCATCTACGCATTTCACTGTTCTGCTGTAACTATTTCATAGCTTCTTTTCTCCTCAGTGCTGCCTTCACTTTCCTGTTACTGCTTTCACTGTTCTATTGAGCCTCGATTCACAGCTACTTCAATCACAGTTGTTATAATACTGCCTCCATTCCCTCACTATACCTTCACTATACCAATGCTTTCACTGCACTATTATTTTCACTTCATTACCCTCTTCACTGTACGATTTCTTTCACTTCGTCAATGACTACACAGTATTATGTATCTTCTTTCATCAGGGCATTCACTCAACCTTTTGTTTGCATTCCAATGGTACCATCATCCTGTGACTGATTTCACTTTTCCGTGTAACACTAATGATTAAACTGCAATGATCTGCTGTCTAGGGTATTTAAATCACTTTAACAATGCTGTGACGATGCCATCTCTCTCTCTCTCTCTCTCTCTCTCTCTCTCTCTCTCTCTCTCTCTCACTGCACCATTGCTTTTATTACATCATTTCTTCCAATGTATTATGGTGTTTAGAATCTTTCCAATGTTACCTTGTTCCTTAAATGACTGCCTTCAGTGTACTATTAATTAATTTAACCATGCACCACTGTAACATTGTATCATCTTCCACTGTAACTATGAATATCACTGTTTTTCCAATGTTCAAAAGCGGTAAAGATTTCACTGCAACAATTACAACGCTTACCAATGTAACAATTTATCGCTTCCTTCACTATGGAATTGTTTTTTACTTGTTTAACGTCGCACTGTTCACCGTATTGTTCTTCACAGTGATCTGTCGCCTTCTCTGCCTCTACTACTTTCACTGTAATACTGTTATCACTGCCTTCATTTTGTTATTGACTTCACTGTTACTGACTTCACTTGGTTATTGACATCACAGTTACTCACTTCATATGTTAGTGACTTCACTGTAACTGACTTCGCTGTTAATGACTTCACTATGTTAAAGACTTCACTGTAACTGACTTCGCTGTTACTGACTTCACTATGGTAAAAACTTCACTGTAACTGACTTCGCTGTTACTGACATCACTCTGTTTATCACTGCCTTCACAGCATTATTTCCATCACTAACTTCATTACTTTACTGCCTTCACAATATTTCCTTTTCACCATGTTACTGTCTTCATTATTTTACATCCTTTACACTATAATTATTCTTACTGTATTCCTTTTTTTCATTATGTTACTGCTTTCACTGTCTTCCTACTTGCTCCTGCCTTCAATACACTGCAGTCTTCCCAATTTTTATTTTATCACTGTAGTTTTGCCGTCACCGTCAGCGTTGTCACTGTCGTTGTCCTCACTTGTCTGTCACTGTAGAGGAGAAAGAACGGAGTATTAGAGTAATGTTTATAATATGAGGCTACGTTAGATTACGTTACGTTACGTTACGTTACGTTACGTTATGTTATGTTATGTTATGTTATAGTAGGTTAGGAAGGGTTAGGTTAGCTTAGGTTAGAAAGGGTTGAAGATTAGTTGGTTCGTTGCTTACAAAAATAAAAGATTAGTTTACAGTATACTGTATCCATATTGCCCTTAACTCAGTTTCTGATGGATACATTATTATATTCTTCTTGAAATGACCACGTAAATTATTTGTTATTACCTATTTGCAAATTCGTAAGTTACCATCTTATATTTTAAGAGTGGGTGACAACTGAGTATACTGTAGCTAAGACCCCTACCAATAGGACGGCACAGAAGTACCCGACTTGCTTCCATTCCTCCACTTAGTTCAATCGACCTCGTTCCAAACACAGAGGCCGGACTGCAGGGTGTTGAGAGCGCTGGGTGACTGCAGTATGACTCTGAACTCTGCCTCATGGCTTCAGGTTCCGAGAAGTGAAAGTTTTACCACAATGAGAAGTTCGATTACTTCCATCAGGCAATCAACCACCATCAAAAGGGTCTCGGTGTGTGGCGTCGTTAAACCGGAGTTGAGAGCTTTAGGAGATAAAATTCGTTTAACATTACTAGTATGTTTAGCGTCACACGTTGATCGATCTCTAACCCCCGGAATGAGAGTCATTTGTGGGGAGAAACGTCCCTATAGAATATAGAAGCATCGGGCACACACACACACACACACACACACACACACACACACAGCCGCTTTGTGCTATGAAGTCTATAAGGTGCTGAAAAACCACTGGAGGTTTGTTATTCAACGTTGATGGAATGACGAAAGATTTTGTCTTCGTCAATACTAAGTTCAAGAATATCGAAGAAGAAAAACCGTGATAGGAAAAAAAATCCACATAGCCAAGGAAATGTGAAGACTAGGATGTTTAGTCCGTCCCCAAAAAGTTTTAGTATTTCAGAGCTTGAACTGGTTTTCGACGTCATAGTGTATCGCCCTCTCCCTCCCTCCCTTCCCTCCCCCCACCAACCCTCCCCTCCCCTCCCTCTCCATCCCTCCCTCTCTACTCACCGCCCTTTAACACATCTTCCTCTGTGGGGCATCTCTGGCATCCATCCCTCCCTTCAAACACACAGCAGCAGCGTGGTTATGGAATTTAATCTTACATCTGGTTTATGAAAGGCGAGAAAACCCCAACATACCTGTATAAGAACAGATGTTACCAAAATAATTCAAGATACTCTTTTGGGTGTAAGTAAAGTAAGTTTGTTGAAGCATACAAGGTGTTCCTCCGTCAACGTTCCCAACAAGAGATCCAATTTCCCTCACAAGACTCGGTAAAGCTGTGAAGGCAAAGGGATGGTGTCGATCGCTGCCCACGAATGATGAGGGATAACACAAAGCTTGGTGGAGGATAGTTAATAGTCAACCATCACACCTGGAGGATAGGTAATAGTCGACCATCACACCTGGAGGATAGGTAATAGTCGACCATCACACCTGGAGGATAGGTAATAGTCGACCATCACACCTGGAGGATAGGTAATAGTCGACCATCACACCTGGAGGATAGTTAATAGTCAACCATCACACCTGGAGGATAGGTAATAGTCGACCATCACACCTGGAGGATAGGTAATAGTCGACCATCACACCTGGAGGATAGGTAATAGTCGACCATCACACCTGGAGGATAGGTAATAGTCGACCATCACACCTGGAGGATAGGTAATAGTCGACCATCACACGGATACATTGGTATGTCTAATATAGGTTATACACGCCCCTCACCTCCCCAGGGGCTCTGTACTCTCTTTTACCGTGTTGAGGCAATTATTCTCTTGTCCATCCACGCTTTTCTAACAGACAATGCTTTACGATATATCCAATTTTACCTCAACAATTCCAATGCAACAACAAGTAATGGTTGAAAGGCTGTGTGATACATCACTGTGGTGGAACTATCTACATCAAGCGCTAAAGAGTATCTTATTTTTCGTCTGGTTTTTGTTTTTCTCTTCAGTTTTCAGCATTTATCCAGAGCTGTTCTAGTAATAAGGGTTTGGTCACCTTAAGAGAGTTCGAGCATTCATTCAGACGACCTCCCGAGGACAAGAAGTGTCTAGCTGATGGGCCTCACTCGAGACCTTGGTAATAAAGGACAGAGTTCGTTCAGGTTTTGTCACTCGCAGGCTCTGTCCGCTCACAAAAGGCCAGCCACTGTGGGAACGCTTGCGGCAAACTTATAGAAAGAATTTTATTGATTATAGTCAAATTTTCACACTAAAAAGTACTATTTTCGACGTTTTTGAGTGACTGTAGTGTCCTCATTAATAAACCACATAACACAAATTTCGATTATGTTTCCATGACTACGAATTAAGTCATATAAAAATCCTATTAACCAAAAACCTCAATTCTGTTTTTTGCGTTTTTTTCCCGATCATTTTCGAACCTCTCTCATCGTACTCAAGGATTAAGTAATAAGTTTTATTTTCCTCTTTTTCGTTGACTGGTTGAAATCCACTATAGGTCAAGGTTACAGGGTTAAAACCAATCGTTTTCCTTTGATCTGTAGTCTTTTCAGATAAAATTAGACTTCAGCCTTCCCTCGCGTGGGCCCAGCAGCTGTTGTGTTGATACGAGGCACCTGGACAATAGAGGCACACATGCTTCCAAACTCCGCTTATTCACCATTCACTGGCTATCACACAAAGCCTTTTCCACATCTGTGTATTCATTCATTCATCCTTTAGTCTTGTTCCTGTGTGCTGCCATAATACTGAGAGATTATATATTCGTAGTGGACAGTAAAAGACCCCAGAGAGGAACTAATGAGTGGAAATACGCGGCCGGCTGGTCAAAAATCAAAGCTTACTGGTGGTGAATACTGAGCTTGAAATCAGTTCAGTGGTTTTATCCTCAGATTCGTTCAACATTTCGAGTTTTTTAGGGGTGAATAACCTCAAATTTAAACAAAATGTGTTCCTATTACTATCATGAAACCAATATACTAGTTAGCGGGAAAGTATCATTTACAGGTGTAATGAGCGTACTGAAACACAGGTAATTTTAGACACAAGATAATGGTTTTAAATTTCATCATTAGGTATATAATTTTGTTGTGCAGATAACTTTAGTCATTAGCGTTAAAACCTTATTTAGTTTATCACCATTTAGTGTTAATTCAAAAAACTTAAGATCCTTCTATATAAGTTCTTGCTATTATAATCATAATTCTTTTTTAACATCTTAACATTTCTTCAAAGTTTACCTCCACACCTCCCTGTGATGCACTATAGTGATGTGTCCTTCGTGAATCATATTTTTTTTAACTAGCTATAAACACGACGACCCCGTGAACGGAAGAGGGTGATTAAAACTCCGGCCTTGAGTATCCCTCTGTAGTCCGGGGTAAAGGTGAGTCAGCTGTCTTGGGCAGGTTAATGAGGGCCACCATCTGGTCAGGTGTTATGATGTATTACTCGGTCGCTGGTGTCTCCTTTATGCCACAGGTGTCGGGGAACATATATCTCGTCCACATTATGTATTGTGAGAGGCGTTGGGACACCCTCGACGCCAGATACATCTCTCCCGGCCTCCCTGAGTGGCCAGAGAGAGAAATATGCTAAGGAGATGAACGTGAGGCAGAATGTTGTAAAATGAATGAGAGAGACACGACCCGTTTCACTTAAAGTGGAGGGATAATATATTACATTATTCTTGTGGCACGTAAAGATCTTAGACCCTGGGGCCGTAAATCTCCCCCGTTACTCTTATTACACTTTGCTCATCTCGTGTCTTTTTCTTCCTCCTTCAAGAGAGAGAGAGAGAGAGAGAGAGAGAGAGAGAGAGAGAGAGAGAGAGAGAGAGCCTTGAGGGAAATAGCTTGCCGGAGGATAATAGGCACAACAAACGGTACAATTCTCTCTTTAGTTAAGAAAACAAAATGGCTACAGCTCGGCCGACGCAGCTGGCTAATAATTCCGGATTTAATGCAAATTGTGTATTAGAGTTTTTAGGCTGATGGAGACTATTATCAAACTGGAGTATTATACCAAAATGTTTCGTTCTCTAGAGTGTTGTTTTTACCTGAAAGATTCATATTTTCCAGTTAGTTTTATACATACACGTGTAAAGGACATATTTATCTGCTAATTTTAAGTTAAAACATAAACAGATGAAGATAGAGTGTTATTAATGAAGCTTAAGTTTTTACAGTAAAAAATTAGACTCGGGGAGTAAATGAACTGGAAGCGAGAGAAGAATAAAGTAATATATAGAAATAAAATAAAATATAGAATGTTGCCGTCCATATTATGTAAAATTAAATACTAGATTACATCAACTTTAGTCTAATTTATTTATGTTTCGTCTACAAGTTCCATGATGAACAGGGATATTATAAACGCTTGTTTCTACCCCGTACAGTCTTGTGGAGATTTGGTGTTCGTTAGACTTGGTACAAATGACTTTCCGAGCCTCAATATGTATGTGTGTTTAGCGTGCTTAGCCATGAACCATCTCCATGTAACAATGTCATCATCCCATCAGAGTACAGAGGTTAAACTGTTGCAACTTTTAAAAATAAACCTTCACCAAAACGTTGTGAGCAGGACAATGGAGGCGGTAACACACACAGTTTCGAGTATGACGCCACTTTGGCTATATGAAGGATTGAGAGACAGAGAAACACTTTGGCCGGATGGAGGATTGAGAGACAGAGAAACACTTTGGCCGGATGGAGGATTGAGAGACAGAGAAACACTTTGGCCGGATGGAGGATTGAGAGACAGAGAAACACTTTGGCCGGATGGAGGATTGAGAGACAGAGAGACTTTGGATTGAGAGATAGAAACCTATTACGGCAGGAACGGGGGCTTGAGTATCGTTACACATTACTTTAAACTACTGTTGGGAGTAGAAAAAAAGCCCTTATTTTATTCTGGAC